TGCACTAGCCCAGGAGTACAGAAAGGAAAACGTAAGCAATTAACACATGACAGTTTGGATTAGGAGGAGGCTGCCAAGATGGCTATGAGAGCAGCACAGCGATGAAAGGACAAGACATGGAGAAATCATCAAGAAGAGAGAGAAAGGGTAATAGCACATCCAGGATGGAGCAAAGGGACTGCAGGCAGACACAGGGCGTGGAGCTGTTTACAGGAGGAGAGAGCAAGAGAGAACATTTAACTCTGCCTTATATACACAAGTGGCTCTTTTAGAGCAAGGCAATAGATCATTAAACACGAAGGACAGGAAAATGACCCTCAAGCCATGACTGAGAGACCGATGCCATACTTGCAGTAATTCAAAAGTCTGATATTTTGTTTACTTCTTTATTTATTATGAGATCTTGATCAATCTCCCAGATGCACAGAGCAAAGAAGGTGAACTCTGCCAGCCTTGCAAAGCTGTTGCCCTCAGCCCTTGTAATCATGCAAGCCTCAGCTGCTGGAGGGCTTCAAGTGCTGTCCCAGAACAGCACTGAAAAGAATCATAGAATCACAAGGCTGGAAATGACCTGCAAGATCCAGTCCAACTACTCTCCCATTACCGTTCCTACCACAAGCTACTAAACCATATCTCATAGCTCCTCATCCAGACAAGGGCACACAATCTCACCAACTCTGAGCTACTTGGCTATCTCAGTTTTCAGGTGACACAGCCAGTTTCCTCCTTGTCAAAGACTAAAGCCACAACGTGCCTCTGGGAACTCCCATGTCAAAGCTGCAGACTACTTCCAACACCAGAGTACCAGTTCTATGACACCACAGAGTCACTTGAGTTGGAAGGGACCTTTAAAGGTCACATAGTCCAAATCCCCTGCAATGAACAGTGATGCTACACAACTGTCAGGAGCCTAATAGGGCACCCAAGCCAACTGCATCCTCCAAGCTATACAACCAACAGTACAGATAGGTCCTAGGGTACCGCAGGTTAACCACTCTGTGGGTCTACCTATAGGAACAGTCCCATTTATCAGCTAGCTCACACTTCACCAGTCAGAGGAGGTCCATGCAGCACCCATCAGTTTATCCTCAAGCCTCAATTTTATAGCAAGAACACTGATAGGATCATACAGATATAAAAATCATATAGAACAGAAAGCAGTCTGCCCATACAGTACTCAAAAAACAGTTGCACTCAGCATAAAGCACTCCTTGAAGCCTATTGACTTTTCCCAAAGACTCCATCCTTAAGATGCTTGGGTGAAAAATAGAGGAAAAAAGCTTCATCTTCAGCCCCATCCCTGCTCTGGCAGGCAGTGCTGCTCTTTGACAGGAGCTGTGTCTCGGCCAGCCCACAAACCCATTTAGAGCACATATAAACATCCAGAAGACACTTTAAGAAGAGCCTCTAAACGCAGGCAGAAATGGCAATTATTAATTTTCTAAATAGAAATCTGACTACTTAAGCCTTATTTAAAAGTGTGCCTGTCTCTATAATTACACAGCCTTAATTTGTTTTCTTTCCTCCACAATAAATAAGGTGCGCACAATTACCCTCTGCAAACACAGTGCCTCCTGACTGGCTGGCCCAGTATGCAGCTGCTCAGGAAAACATTTAGAGGGAATTACAGTCTCTTAAGTACCTGTTTCCCAGTACAGGGAGACTCAGACACCGCAGAAGTCAATTTGTCTAGCCCTAGGCACAATCTGCTGGAACTCTCCTCTCCCACATCCATAGCTCTACCACCCCAGCTGTGAGCAGCAGGCTGGACACATTGCCTGGAAGCAATCAGGTCTTGTCCTCTCCTGCACACTGATTCCAGTGCTGGGTTTTCCTGGTGACTTCTCAGTACCTAAGTAAGGATTGTGATTGTGTTGCATTCCTTCCTACAGGGCACTACAACAACCTCTCTGCACTGTTTCTCTGGCTATTTTCATGACAGTTATATGAAAAAGATCCTCATAACTTGTAATTTCCTATCAAGCTGAATTAAATTGGCCAGAGCATTTCAGTATTACCAAGAGAAGAACAGGCATGGTAAGAGCACAAAAGGCATTTTCCTCAATAAGCTCAAAACACAGTGACATAAATATGTATTCAAATGGTTTATGTGTCTCAAGTTTAGGCACCATATCATCCTAAAGCCTTCTTGCCTACGTCAAGCCAAAGACTGAGGTTTTGTGTCATCACTAAACATTTCTACAGTCTTCTATCCCAATTTACCCAGATCTGAGCAGTCAGGACAAAGATTTTCTACAACCTACATGTGCAGCTTCTCACATGCTACACATGGTGCTCCCCACAACCATTTCCCTATTAGCCAAGGGACAGCGAAAGCTGCACAGAAATGGGAGCAGGAAGCTGCCAGTGCAACTTTGCACAGAAATAAAGAAGACTTCCAGAGTGAGCATGCAGAAAGACTCTGGATGACATTCAGTTTAGATCAGGCTTACATCCATCCTCTTCAACACGGAGTCAGTACTACTTTTAGAAGAAATCAGTGGCCCAAGATCCACAACGGGGAAGGGGATGGAATTTAAATGAACACACCAAACCTCATCCAGAACCATTCTTTTAAACCCCTACAAACCTGAACTCCTGCAATTAGAGCTAAGTGATCTGCTTATGATTGCACAGCTGGGGTCTGAAGACAAGCGCACGCAGTAAGGAGCAGCCAGAAATAGAAGCTGATAGGAGAAGGCAGAGCTATCTGGTCCATCCGAGATGAGGAAGCTTTGATGAAAGACACTGGGGAAAAAGTCGCTTCAGAGGGAGGCTGGGATCCAACCCAGAACAGGGAGGGGTGGGGGAAAAAAAAAAACAACTGAGTCCCTGTCATTTGTATACAAGCTTCATGTGGAAAAATGCCTGCTGCTTTTCAGATCCAACTTGCAGCACCCCACGAGGGTTACCCTTATTCAGGCTGTGAAGTCTCTATGTTTGTTAGAGATGTGCAGTCTGTATCTCAGCTCCACCTGCAATCATCCAAACCCAGCAAAGGAGGAGCAAAACCACACAGCTCACCCATCAGCCTTAAGTCCACTGTCCTGCAACACATTCAGCTGCTGCCAGCTCTACCATGAGGGGATTGAGATGGTATCCCTTGCTCTTGTCAGCTACTGTACCCACTTAAAGCAGTCCAAGACTCACAGCAGAGTGATATTTCCATTAATCCTTTTATCCCTGGCACCTATGTGTAGTGGCTTCAGAAAATGTCAGGCTCTCAGCAAGCTGAGCTCTCCAAGAAGCAGCAGCTATGAAGATGCTCTGATGTGCTGGCATAGCCCCATGAGCACACAGCGGAACCCAATTGGCACTGTGTGTCTCTAAGCCTGGGCAGCATCCATGCTCTTATGCCAGAATTGGACAGTCCCAGGAGAAAGAAGCCAGCACCATGACATAAGAGTTCAAGGAAGCAGATTTCCCTGCAAGACCCAGCTCTGCATCCCTATGGATGAGAATCTGCCACCAGGAGCAGCCACGTTGAAAGCATTCACACACCATGGACACACCACTGGAACACACTGCTGGGTGTGCTCAACAGCATCAAATCCCACCAGCAAACATCAACCAAATAATGCACTTCCTTGCCTCAAGCTTCAAACGGCAAGGAAAGAAAGACATTAAGAACATGATCAATCTTACATGGCCCGAGCAGTAAACAAACACATATTTCATCACAACATACCAACCTCAGCTTTTGACACAAGATGGATATGTCAGGGTTTCCCCCCCCCCCCCCCCCATCTCAAAAGTAATCTCAAAAGACAAAAAAAAACCTAAGTGCTTTCCAAGAAAGCAGTAACAATTGTATGTGTACATGTTAATGGCACACTCAGATTCAAAGTGAGCATATTTCCTCCTACACTCCTATGATAACCAAACTAATTTCATCAGGAACCAAATGCTATGTATGTAACAGATAAAAAATGAATAAACTGCAACAGCACAATTGACAAATTACATTAGAAAAAAGTCAGTTGGGAGAGGTATTTCAGAAAGAACATTTCCCAGTAACAAACAACTACACAAAATACAAAACAAATGCTACAAATCAAAATAATAAAGCATGAAAATCAGGGAAATCCCTGTGGTCAGTGCTAAGGAGGTTATATTATAACAAGATACACACTTTTAAAACTCAGAAAGGCCTCATGTTTGTTCATAATGCCCTTAACTATTCATGCCCTTTGGTACTGCACATCTCCTATTTAGGAAGTACTTCACCGTCACTTAGCAACTGTAACTGGTTTTCCAAAAAGGAAGCTTCTGGGGTTTTCAGTTCAAATAATCTCTGAGCATACATCAAAAGACAAATAGATACAACCTGCAGAACTGGATATATCTCCCCCCACCAGTAGCATTCCATCTCAATGGCCACCTGCACCCACAGAGTCAAATGGCTGTGCTCTACAGCCATCTTTCCCATAGAAAAAGCTACTGGCATTGGTTTCTAAAACACAGGGATGCTCTCCATCCAGCTCGCCAGTTCAAACCCAAAGCTGCACACTTCTCACCAACTTTTGTTTTTTCCCCTTCTTTTAACCTGTGCCAGAGCCAACAAGGCTTTATCTTGGACACAGTTGCTTTGACAAGACATTTCAAACCCATGAACACTTCCCATAACTTGCACAGTACTCCAGCTTTTGTTCAATGCCTTTGGAAGGCGAATAGATATCCAGTAAAGAAATTCCTTGACCTCAAGCATAGGCAAGCTCCTTGGGACACCATACCTGATGGCTAATGATGCCCAGGGAGCTGAGCTCTCAAACAATATCTCACAACACCACTACTCCAGCCCTACCCCATGCCCACCAATGGGCCAGCTCACAAAGCCCTTCATTAGGAGACCTGACAGCCACGTGCCTCAGGGTTTGCATAAAGAGATGGCCACCTCTCAACCCTTTCTCCTTCAGCATCCCCCTCCCTGGTGCCACGGTCTGTGACCAAAGCCTTGCTGGGGGAGCAGAGGGGCACAGGCAGCAGCTGGCTGCACTCACATGTAGCGCAGATGAGGGTTCTTCGCAAAGGCGCGAGGTTGGATATTTCGTAGTCCTGAGTTCCTGATTGTCCTGGAAAGAGAATGAAAGGGCAGCAATGAAGTCCATGTTGAAGACTGCTCTAAAGCCCTGTGCTGAGCACAGACACAGCACAGTAGCAGACAGTACACAGGAGCCCTCCAGTCCCTAAGGAGGGACATCTCACCCCAGACAATCCCCTCAAGTGCAGAGGAAATCAGGCTTTTCAGCTTCAGCTGACACCAGCAGCGCAGGCTCAGCACGCAGCAGCTGCTGGGCTGCAAACAACAGTATGCCCCTTTACTGTTTGCTTTGACAAGATGAGAACTGCATCAGCCTGCATGCAAGATGGGTGTTTAGCATGCAGTTTGTTGGGGTTCAGATACCCAGGTGGCACCCAGCCTTCCCAAGCACCAAGAAAACTACTTTCAGGCAAAGGGCCTCAGTTTCTCTGTGATGCACAAGGTCAAGCTCTTCTGAAACCAGGAGGGCTGCACAGGGAGATGTCATTTCCTAATTATGCAGCACTACCACGACAACAACCAAACTAAACGAGAACCAACAGCCCAGTATTGAAGGATTGGCAGAGACAGCTGGAAATCCACATTGTGGGACTGAAATGAGTCAGAACAATGCACAAGCCCAGCACCAGAACAGCGGGGGAGAGGAGAGGTCAGGGCTGATGTGTGTTGACAGAGCTGTCACGAGCTAGCAATCTTCCTTCTCCCAGATCCAGTAAAGACCAGAAAGCACTTCATCTCCATTTTGTGAAGTTTCATAACAAAACACTGCAGAGCCAGCAGCTTAAATAGGCTCCAAATGCCACAGCGCAGAGAAAGAGGGAACCATTTGCTTAGGAAACAAGGGACTGCCCAGTGCACTTCTCCTCCCCGACATGCAAGACATACTCACAGCCTCTGGAGTCCCGTGTACAGCTCCATGTCTACAGCATTCAGCGTCTGCAAGTTCTTCCAGTTCTCTATGTGTCTGTGAAAGAGAAGGGAAAGGCTCAGCTATAGCACATCCAGGTGGCTCTGCCCATTCAGCAGACATGTTCACCTTTGCTCTAGCTCAAACCTTCAACGTGCAGAAGGTCTGGAAATTGAATGTACTCTGGCTTCAGCAGACATATCCCCAGATACATGTGGTATGCATCATGCTGCCAAAACAAGCAGCTTCCCATGCTGCTTTTTATTCTGTGTTCCCTGCACTCCAGGGTAAAAAAACATCACCACCAACATGGTTTTACCCACAATTTTCAGTGTAGGAAATGCAACCGATCCATTGTACGCCATTGGTAAAGTCATTGCTTCTCTCCATGCACATCAGTGAAACAATGCCACTCAAAAGGAGTGAAAGTAAATAAAACTTCTCAACAAAAATATGGGGCCTGAAAAGGGGAGGAAAGGAAAAATGGCAATATATTTATCCATTCTCTTACTATAGTGGACAACAGGGTGCTGGTCCTTGCTAGCTGGAAGTGCTGCTGGCAGCAGAGTGCCAATCTCAGTTTGGAAGCCATGCCTTTATTATAAATTCCTCTGTCACCTGGGGCACTCTAGCAGGTATGTTACAGAGAACAGAAAACAGAAATAGATCTGTCACCATGGGATTGTTACTCAGTAAATATTAGAGCTGGGGGAAGGTGACAGATCGACAGCCCCAGAGGACGGGGTCCCCTGTTATCAGGAGCACAGGAGTGATGCTGGCAGCAGCATGGCCACAGGCCCCTAACAAGCTGCAATGCTGTGCAGTTGGGAAGAAGCTTGGTTTCCACCAGCCCGGTAGTCCTTGGTGAGTCAAGGCTTTCTCCCAGACCAAACTCATATTCCTTCCAACAGAAAGCACATTTCCAAGAGAACCTTGCTGCACAGCAAGTAAATGTGATCCTCTACCAGAGCGATCTCGGAGGACGTAAATCTGTCCAGTTCCCTTAGACAAGGAATAAAAGAAGTGCAGCCTTCAAATTCAGGAGCACATGCTCCCAAACTCACATTTGCCCTGATACCATCATTGGCTTCGTACTCAGCCATAGGCAGAGAAACACTTCCATGTTATGGAGGGTTGGGGTGATGGGCCAATGCTAAGAACCATCACCTCTGAGTATAGGACATCACATGGTGGAACAGAGGGGGATTAAGGGGAATAGGGACCCTTCAGCCACTCCTGGAGCAGTCACAGAGGTCATACATTCCTTCTCAGAACATAGTGAGTGCTAGAGAAGCATTTGCATAAGAATAGATGAACAAGCACAATAGAATCTGGACTTAAACTACATCCCAAATACCATCCACATGAAGAAGAAGAAATGTAAAAATCCAAATTCTGGATTAAACCCTGAACATGTTTCTCTGCTATCACCATCCAAATCCAATAAGACCAAAGACCCAAGAGTCATCTCTGTGGGTGTCCCATCCCTGGAGGTGCTCAAGGCCAAGTTGGATGGGGCCCTGGGTAGTCTGAGCTGGTGGGGAACAACCAGACCATGGCAGGGGGTTGGAGCTTAATGATCTTCAAAGCTTTCTTCCAACTCAAGCCATTCTATTCTAACCCATGAAAATTTCACATCCTAGGGCACAAGACTACAGGACTGTGTGCCTGGGTACTTGCCTTTTGCAGGGCTACAAACATGACTCCTACAACCCAAAGGAGAGGCTCCTCCAAGAAAAGAAGAGGCAGGAAGGGGATGACTTGGGTTTACCACTAGGGCACGCTGGAGCTGAGCACTGATAAAGGGCAGAGATGGAGCAGCCCTGAGCCAGGGCTGGGAAGGAGGTGGCAGCCAGATTGGCTCTTGTTTTATTGATTGTGGTTGCTAAAATAAAATAGTCAAGGTTATTTTTGACCTGACACTCAAAGCCACATGCAGCATATGAGAGGTAGGAAGAGACCTGGGCTTGTTCCCAATGACACACACAGGCTTGCTGGCGACTGGGGGTCTTGGTGGGAGCTGTAAATCTGACAGAACTACAAACATCTTGGCCTGCTCTGGACTCAAAATGAAAAGAGTCTCTCATTCTGTCCACAAAATGTTGCACTATAGCTATGGAAATGGATGAAGTACATAATGCCAGTACAGACCTGCGCTGGACAGAATGGCTACTGCCCTCTGAGCAGTTCAATCCCTCCACGAGTGATATTGTACCAAGCTGCAAAGAAGCCTTCAGAATCCATGCTCCAGCCTCCCAAAGGCAGCCCAGGATTTTCCAGAGTCAAATACACTTTGGTTTGTTATTTACATACACACACAACACCCATATAGGGAGTGACAAGGGAGGTGGAAATCAATACACACACATAGAATAATCCCATGACACAGCAGCTGTTTTACATAGAGTGCAACAGAGGGTGACAGCATCATCTTGAATTAGGTGCACAGTTCAGCAAGCAAATTTGAGTCCTTGTAGCTACACAGATGCTTCCCTTCACAAGGGGTCCCAGAAAGTTGTTTTCATATAGATCTATACACACACACTTTTCAACTTAGCAGGAGTCACTCGCTAGCTCCTCAAAGTGGTGAATCAGACTTTGTTGACAGGCACCCCAAAGATACACCCAGAAATCCATTTTCTTTTGTTCCCTATAGCTTTTGAAAGAGTAGCGTAACCTTTAAGAAGTGGATTCAGGCAAATCCAGCCAGCACAAAATAAACAGAAATGCATCTTACTCTGAAAGTTCAAGGAGTCAAGCTGTGACTGCAAAATTGGCAGCAGTTGCACAGGAAAGCAAACCAACCAAAGAAACTTTATTCCTAGAACTTCAGTCTCTCTTCATGTCCTTCAGCCTCTCAAGTTAGGTTCTCCTCTTTTTCTTCCATGGCTTTGCTTGCCCTTGAAAGACTGCATCTTTCCCATTTCTACCCAAATTGGAACCTTCCCCATCTGTCTCCGATTGTTAACCTGGCAGAACACATCTGCAGGGCCCACACCAAAAACAGATGGGACAACTCCCAGCCCTGCCCCATTCTCTGCAATCAGACCTTTTAGGTATGAGTTACAGCCCATAGGTTACTCCCTCCTCCCTACAAACTCCTCTAAATATATATTCCTGAGGCATCCCTCAGTTATTACTAAGGTAAGCCTCTCTTCTGCAAGATGCAATAGCTTCAATAACACTATACTCCACAAATCCTCAACTGTGCACCATATACACATCCACCTAGACTCATTTCCAGCTTTAATATCAGCGCCACATGAGATGAATCACTAACAAAGATGGAGGGGGAAGCAAAGGGGAAAAAGGGTTATTTGTTTTAAATACTCCCTTCCTTCTCTACCTCTTGTCTATTAGGCAAGTCCTGGTCAAGTCCAGGTCTCCCTGCAATGTAAAGCTGCCATTTACAGACCAAACTGTCCTGTTTAGGAGTAGCTGGGGCTTTTTCTTCCAAATTTGTACTGAAATGCTGCACTGGAACCCCGCTCTTCTCATTTCTTACAACACACGCACACTTCGTATTTGTCTTGAGTCAAAATTATCCTTGCTTAAACAGCTTTTTTCCTTTCCTGCTATTTACTCCTCCTTCCTTTACAAGGAAGTCAGACCCACCCAGCAATCATTTATAAATTACACAAGGTCAGTTCTCCTAAGGCAGCATGTCTGTACCGTGCAGTGAAGAGCAAGGCAAACTGAACCAAATGCCTTAAGAGATAGAAGCTCAAGACACAGAAGTGATGCAGATATGTTCTCAGACAGAGCCTTGGTGGTGAGGTTGTTTGACTTCTGGCTTCAGACCCAGTATACAACTGGATCTTCGGTGACCTTCGCAATAAGAACCACTATGATAGTCACTGTAATAGAAAACTGCTCCACTTTCTTCACTGACCTATTTAAGTCCTTCTTATCTTCAATAAGGGTGACCAGGAACATGCAGCAGACTCCAGGAGGACTCAGTTTACAGAGGCAGCTCCCCACTGGTACTCACAATGCCTTGGCTTTCAGCCCAAGATCATAGCATCCTTATCATAGCCGTATCAGCACTTGTCCTCACCTGCAATCCAGCACTGCACCAAGCATGTCTACCCACCAGGTCATTCACAACTGACGACTTCTTAGCTGACAGCAAAAGCCCATATAACTCCCATATGCACTACTAGGATTTGTTTTTTGGCCCTTCCTCTCTGTGCCCCCACAGCCCCTGCACTGAGCCAGCAGCAAAGCCCACAAGCCAGCTCCTGCCTTTTGAGCCAATGACTTCATGAAGGCAGGAGCCAACTTCACCTTCAGGCAACCTCTTCCAACATATTTCACCACTTTTTCCTCCTATAGCCAGCTCTTCACCTCCAACACTGCACTATTCCCAGTGTAACACAATCATATTAACCTCTCACCATAAAGCAGTCTCTTTGCCTAGGAAATTAGTTACAGGCATAAAGTTATCCAAACAAAAGCTATCTTTAGGAGGACAGTCCTGCATCGTATCTCAGCTTCCACTTACGACAGCACAAAGCCCTCTTTGCCAGCTCCACAGCTCCCAGGCACTATGTGAAACCAGTGGCTTTTCCCCTGTTTTGCTGATAGATCAGAGATCTCATTGGCTATATGGTCACCCATTGGCAGGCTTTAACTTTCAGCTCGTCTCCAGACATGCCAACAGCCAGACCCACTTGTTGGAAGCACAGCAGTGCCCACCATCCCACAGGAATCCCCATCATTCTGCCAGAGATGTCTGACAACACAGGTTGGTGTCACCTTCTTGACACCACACAGCAAGCCCACACAGCCCTATGCACTCCTCTTGCAGCCCAGGGCCAGCGCAGCAAGGGAGATGAAAACATCCACAAATATTTAAACACAACCAGGCTTATTTTATCCCACGTGAATGAGGCAGGGGTGAAAAGCAGCAGCTTATGCCAATTTACTGAGTGATTAGCTTGAGGCTACTTAATGTCTCTGACCTTCCTTCACCCTCCTTATATGACAAGGATAATATTTATCTAATCTCCCTCAGCTTTTCAAGTGCTGTGGTAAATAGCTAAAAAAAGGCACTT